TAATGACCTATTCCATTAAGAATTTTGTTTACGTGAACAAAGCATATCAGCTGCACTACAATTTACTTGAGCTTTTTTATCTTGATGATGATAGGTTGCCAAAGAAACACAGAATGGCAGTAAACCTACTTAGAGAATGAAATATACCACAATGGCCACATGTATATCAATCTTACCAACCCCATGACCGACTCCATATCGCTAAATGATTATACACCGCGCTTCACACATAAATCATATTCCGAGATGTCACCGCCAATATGCTGTCAGAAAACGTGCTCTTTTTTGTATGCGCTAGACGAGAGCAGAATTTGGTAAAACCGCTTCTCAGCCTCTTGAAGAAAAAAAATAAGTTGTATATTTCATTGCTATGCTAAAAAAAATCACCCGAGTTTGAGGGAATAGTCACAAAACATCAAATGTATCACTTTTAGCAAACGGCGTCCATCAATCGGAGCAGTGGGAACCCTTGGAAAAGCATGGAGTTTGGGAGCCTCAGTCAAAGCCTTTGTGACGTTGATCTATGGATAAAGTTGAGCAGAGGCGCTCTCGCTCAGTGCGAGTTGAATTTCTATGCAGGTGATGAATGAATGCGCTCTGCAGTGCGTGTCGTGGATGTATATCACTCTGCTCCCTACAGGATGGAGAGATAAGTTACTGCTAACCTGCAATGTAGTTCTACACCTCGCCTAAGGAATTGGTCGTGAGCTCGGCTTGCTTCCATTACACTTTTTGATAGCTGCAAATTTACTGAAAGTTATTCTAGTTTTGTAAAAGGTCAGCCCTGCAAATTCACGCTCTGACCGTAGGTGGCGTGAGGCAGGCGTTTTCCTTCCAAGTAGAGCTGTAGAGGACATTAATTGCGAACAAAGCCTCAAGCACTACTTCAGTGTAGTCTCAGCATGGGCATGTGGTTCATTTAAGGTGACTCTCTCATCCCAGATGACTCAGTCAAAACATATTCATGAAAAATGTGCGCTACTGTGTCCAACCCTGACCCCTCCGATGAGTTACCTGCATTGAACACACCTCTGTCATTCAGGGGTCTGTTAGACAATGCTCTTTGAAAAGGAGCTGCTTTACACCCTCTGAAATATTCACGAAAAAGCAGCAGGAAGATGAATGGGCGCCTGTGTCCCAGCTCAGGACCCTTGTTAAAAGAAGGCGTTGATCGAGAGGTCAAAGCCGGAGAGAATTTTAAACATCCATTGGCCCAGGGCCTCCCGGGATCATTACAGCTCACTCCTGAAAGGAAGGAGAGCCGAGCCAAGAGCAAGAGAAGCCTAGCGCGGTGATATACGAGCATAATCATTTCTCGCTCTCCTCCTTTTTTTTTTTCTCTAGGCAGGGCTGGCCCTCACTTCATCCTCTTGTTTCGGTAGAGCATATTACGCTGATACCTCTGCAGCAGACTTAAGCACTTTCCTTTCCTCTCAGCGGTCTTTTTAAAGGGATAGTTCAACTAAAAATCAGAGTTCTCTTATTACTTTTCCACCCTTATGTTGTTTCCAAACTTCAAAGTGGTTATTTTTTCCCCATGGAACACAAAAGTAGTAATGTGGAAAAAAAAAAAAAAACATCTATATAACAAAAGTTCAATTCACCCAAAATAAAATGGCTCCATAAAAGTAGGGGGGAAAGTATAAATCAGAATTTTAGCGAGGTATAAGGCGCATATTTTTATTGGTGATCTTTTGCACTTAATGAAAACCACTGTCGATTGTTGCTCTGATGTAATTTCGTTAATAATAATAATAATAATAATATGATTTAATTTTCCTCTAAACCACTATATGGCACAAAAAACTTGCCGCAGCACTTTCCAAAACATTCTCATTTGGGGTAAAAGGCTCTTGAGCATAATAATAATAATTAATTAACATTATAATCAATTAATTTATAATGATTATCATATTTTAAAAATATGATATTAATCATATCATATAATAAAATATATGTTATTGTTAATTTATGACATCTGTAGTAAATTATTGTCAATGTTTTCAGGATCTAAAAAAAATTGTTTCTGTATTTTCTAAAATGAACATATTTTAAAGACAGTATATATTTATTGAACAAAATTTAATTGTTTTATTTATCAACAATTAACAGAAAAGAGTACAAACTTTGCTAAAATGATGGTTTTGAACAAATATTAATTTAGTATTAAGAACATATTATTTTAGCTAAAGTATTTATATCAATACATCAATACTGGGTGCCTTTTGCCCCATACCCCATGTTTGGGGTAAAAGGACAAACTTGCCACCTCATTCATTTATACAATTTTTAAACCACTTTTATGATTTACTTTCCACACAATGTTGCTCCATCAATGTTCAATTCAAGCATATATTTGTTTCTGCAATCATACACTGGAAGCTGTGAAAAGCACATTTTTCTTTATGTGCGCCATTATACCCCTATAAATACTTTTACATCTTTTTTAATTATTATTATTATTTATTTAGCTGTTTTGGTGCTTGATAGACTCTGGTCACTAACTGTCGTTGTAGGAAAAAAGCTTTTACTTGAACGGATGTAATTATGGATGTAAAAACGCACCATGTTTGTTAACTACACGCTTTGAATGTTTAAACATTATTGTTGTTGAACACCAATTTGATGCTATAAGAAGGATGACACCTCAGAAACTGACAAACTAGATGATTATAACCCGTCATTAAGTGTGATAAATGCAGCTCTAGGCTATTGAGTGAGTTGAATATAGCCTGTCAACATCAATCTTCACCCAAAAACCCAGCAATATTAATTCACTCACCTTACCCATGATGCCTAAATGAGAAGTGCTGCTATATTGAGGTCACTGCTGCCATCTACTGGGTTGTTGCTGTAGTTATTGTTACGTTTGCTGTTGGGAGAAGTGCTATGTTATTATTTGCCATGAAAAGTTCAAGTCCGATATTGAAAAATATCACATTTATTTTCATAGAAAATTTATATTTTACACAATTCTACACATGCACAGCCACACAATTGTCCATATCGGTAGACCAACGAGTCCTTTTTTTCTCTTTAATTCACAGAGCGAACACAGAATTGCCAACTTGAGCATCTTTTCTTGACGACACCATGATAACATTTACACTGTTGAATATTAAATTTTAAAGCACTAAAAAAGTCTGTAAATTAAGTATAAACATTTATAAATTATCTACAAATGGAGTACAAAAGAGTAACCGAGAAATGAACACATCATCCAGTTACAACGAACACACGGGATTCATGATAATAATAGAGATATTTCTGTTAAATGAAAATATATGTAATCTCTATTATTTATTTTTCTTTTGGCAAAATGATGTTGCAAGCTATACAAGCAGCTGAACATTTCATACATTCCTTTTTGGCTATCCAAATTTATTATCATTATCATTTAATTAGAACCATGTTTTTCTTCTATACAATAAATAAACATCATTCACCCCAAATGAATATTATATATATATATATATATATATATATATATATATATATGCTATATTAAAATGCTTAAATGCTTAAATACATATAAGATAATCTTTTTTAAAGATTTAAACTTTCTTTTTTTTTTTTTTAAACACACAGTATGTACCCTGGATCAAACCATTCAAGAGTGCAATCTAAACCTAACCGGCCAAAATGTTGGGTCAACTTCGCATTACCAGTTGTGGGACAAGATGTTTTGTGTTAATGCAAAAGAATTTGCCCTTAATGTAAACTTATAGCTTGAGACAGCTGAGCCATCATAAGTAGTATTGCCTGAGGGTATTTAACCTGTATTTTGGTTGCTGAGAATATATTATGGTCCTCAGCAAAGAGACCTTCACAGAAAGTTTGTCTATATAGCAAGCAAAGACCCCAGGAAAAACAGCCAATGATAACAGCAGCAAGGATATGTCATTTAGGCCTATAATCTCATTATACCAGCCCAACCTATTTGTATAAACCAGTGTTAAAGAGATAGTTCACCGAAAAATGAAATTTCTGTCATCATTTACTCACCCTCATGTTGTTCCAAACCTTTGCGACTTTCTTTCTTCTGCAGAACATAAAAGAAAATATTTTGAATAATGTTGTGAAGAAAACAGTTCTGGTTACCATTGAATCTTAAAGGAGTAGTTCACTTTAAAAAAAAAAAAAATAAAAAAAAAAAAGCTTTTGCTGATAATTTATTCACCCCCATATCATCCAAGATATCCATGTCATTCTTTCTTCAGTCGAAAAAGAAGTTGAAAAAATAATTTTTGATGAAAACATTCCAGGATTTTTCTCTATACAATGGACTTCAATGGGAACCAAACGGTTCAAGGTCCAAAAGACAGTTTCAGTGCAAACTGCTAACTGTTCAAAGGAATTTAAAATAAATAAAAGTCCAGAATATAAAATATTCCAGACGATGAATAAGGGTCTTATCAAGTGGAACTATCGCTCATTTTTAAAAAAATAAAAAAAAGTTTAAGTTTTAGAAGCTCAAATGGTCGCCTTGCTCTGTTCTGTGATGCGCGTTCGTGACTCACCTATTTAAATTCTCTCATCAAAATGAACAAATCTTTTCGAAAGTCAACTTGTTCATTTTGTTTGTTGAATGAACCAAATGACATGAAAAAAGATTTGTTCATTTTGATAAACGAGTTCAAATAGGAGAGTCACGAACACGCATCGCAGAACAGAGCAAGGCGACCATTTGAGCTTATAAAACGTAAACTTATTTCAAGTTTTTTTTTTTTTTAAATGAGCGATCGTTTCGCTTAATAAAACCCTTATTCATCGTCTGGAATCGTTTAAAGCCCTTTGAACAGTTTGCAGTTCGCACTGAAACTGTCTTTTGGACCGTGAACCGTTTGGTTCCATTGAAGTCCATTATATGGAGAAAAATCCTGGAATGTTTCTTTAAAAAAACATAATTTCTTTTCAACTGAAAAAAGAAAGACATGGATATCTTGGATAACATGGGGGTGAGTAAATTATCAGCAAAAGTTGTTTTTTTTTTTTTTTTTTAAAGTGAACTACTTTAATTGTATGAAAAACGAGAATAATTTCTCTAAATTCTTTCATTTTCCACAGAAAAAAATTAATTCATACAGTTAGTAGAATGAGTAAGTTATGACAGAATTTTAATTCTGGGGTGAAAAACCTTTCAAGGGTCATTCACACAGAATGCGTTCAGGCGTTTTCATCTTTTAACATTGTATAAAAAAAAAAAAAAAAAAAAAAAAAAAAAACTTGTTCTCTGGAAACCAGTCTTTAGAAAGTGGAATTTAAAGGATAGTTCACTACAAATGAAAATTCAGTCAAGACCACTATCATCAAATACGATTGGCCAGTAGCATACGGAAGGAACTCCATTCACATCTATGCAACCTAGCATGGATGAGAGCAGGGAGAGCAGCAGTAACCCCTCTTAGGGTAAACAGAACCAACATGAATGTATTGCAGATATCATTAAATGTCAATATTTTAATATATATCATAATTCAAGAATTTAGTCTGATTGAATTACTGACTGACAAGAGGAGGATCTAGACTGGAGACGAGGAAGGAATTGGCTCCTGAGAAACATGATAGCTGCTGATAATACTGCAGGCGCTTATAAATTAATACAGTGATTGGTGTCGTATGCCTATAGGTAGACGTGGATCAGCTGAGAGTCAGCTGACTAACGTTACCTGCTAGACCTAAAGCTACTTTTTTTGCCATCATTTACTTACACAGTTGTTCCAAACCTGTATGAGGTCCCAATATTCTTCAAAATTTCTCATGTTGTGTTCAACAGAAGAAAGGTTCTCATAAAGGTTTGAGGGTAAGAAAATGACAAAATTTTCATTTTGGGGCAAACTATCCCTTTAAGTAGACACCAAGACACAATATTTGCTTAAATGTTTCTTCTTGAGAAGATGGGACCACCCTTATTGACTTTAGAAAGGAACAGAAAACAACTTGTAAGTAGCAGCACATCACATTATCACAAAAGTTTATAACAACATTTGTCCCTTTTAAGTTTAAGGGGTTGCACGAACATGGATGCAGAGGGGACACACTCCATTCACCAAAACACACACAGATTGTGCGATTTGAAAGGCAAACACAGAAACTTTCCATTGTATTTTTTGAACTTCAGAGTCATTCTCGTGGTAAACACGGGATAGGGAGCAAGCAAAAGAGAGAATACTTGGCAAAGGCTGATGTATCTAGACATCAGATGTAGGTAATATACTGTACTTACTGAGTTGAAGGCCACAGCAATGTTTAAAAGGATTTGCTCATAGACTGTCCTGGTTAGTAATGCGTTTTTGCACATTGCCCATCTTTCTAAAATGCTTTTAAATGGAAACATGTTATTTTATTGTGGTCCTTTTTGTGTTTCGGACTAATGCACTTAATATGGTCTGGAGGTTAGCATAGAATGCTATTTGACACACAACGTCAGGCCATATTTGAAGTGCTTTTTGAACTGTTTTTCTATTCATCACTAAATGCAATACCATAACATTAAAATCTGAGATTAAATATTTAGCTCAAAATCCAGCACTTTGATTTTAAAAATGGAAATAGCAATGGAAGTAGGCTAATTCGTTGTATATAACATCTTTTTGTCCATCACAGTATGGATGGATGCTTTTATTCTGACAGCCAATTAGCAAACTCACTGACATGTGAGTGACACCTTTATACGTCATTCCTTTTCATATGGATATTAGATTTATTTCATAATGTGTATGGCATGTTAATTTAATTTTTTTTTTTTTAAATCCTAGTTTGTGTTGACACATCGGGGATTGGCTGTTTCCCTTTTGAGATAGAAATCTGTATGCTGTTGTAGTCATATGAATTTGAAATCAAACTCATACTTTTACTTTGAGAACTTTTGGAGCAGTTTCTTCCCCTTAGAGAGCAGACCTTTTTTCTTTTTAGACGCCAGGTCTCGTGGACCCCTGGCTGGGCTCAGCGCCCTGACTGGGCCAACAGGAAGCAAAGGACGCACAGTGGGAGAGGCAGGTCTTCCAGGGGCCGGAGCTGGCTCTGTACTTTCCACAGGCACCTAATGAAACATCCATGGGGAAGGGAAAATTGTGGGATATTACACAGCAAGTTTATCTTTTGCCTTATCATCTGCATTCTTCTAGTAACCGACCGTCCAGCTCATGTTAAAACTTTTAAAACAAGTGATGGTAAGACTTTACTTGAAGGGGTGTGCATAAGACTAACATGACACCTTCATAATCATGACATGACATATGTCTTGAATATGAAGGATGTTTGTGACAACTGTCATTAAGTGTCATTCGCTCAGTTATGACATTTTTAATGCAAATATGTCTTTGTGTGTGACACCTTGACATAAACCAATACATCATAACCAGTCAGTGTCTTTGTCATGACAACTTGACATTACTAAGACAACATGACCTGTCATAAACATGACATAGAAGATTCCTTATCAAACTTAAGAAACTACTTAGCTTTATTGGTTAACATTACATTAAACTGTCAGGTGGTTGGTTTTGACATTGGCTGTCATGAAGCCATTATAACTCTTTAATGACAAATTCAATTAGTACCACTGTAGTTAAAAATATTCATGACAGTTATAATGGCCTCATGACGGCCAATGTCAAAGCCAACCACATGATAGTTTAACTTAATTTTATGTCAAGTTGTCGTGACAAAGACACTGACAGGTTATGATGGTAATGTCAAGATGTCATAATAACAAAGACATCTTAAACAATGGCATATTTGCAGTCAAAATGTCTTTATTGAGCGAAAGACACTTAATGACAGTTGTCATAAACCCTACTTCATATTCAAGACATATGTCATGTCATGGTTATGAAGGTACACCCCTTCAAGTAAAGTGTTAGCCAAATGATTTGAAATGTGCCAAGAAAATAAGAGCAAAAATTATATTACTTCTCACAGATTGGAACTCTAGAGAAAAGGCAGATAATATGGCTGGTTCCTGAATAAACTCAACTGTGTTATTAAATTATTTTTGGGGGCTGCTATAAGAAAGATAAGAAATATTCCTTAATTTAATTTCAGTTTGAATTGTTATTAGAAGCCTCTAAAAGTCAGGGGATCTTATAATACATTAAAGCATCAAAATAGACACACAGCACGGAAACCAACTGCAGATACCATATAAGTCCAATGCACTGGCATATTAAGCCGAAGTCTGTTTTTCTAACTTCAAAAAGGAAAATAAATTAAAAAAAAAAAAAAATAGTAATCTGAATAAATGAACATCATTAAATAGATAAACCGAAAACAAACCTTATCTTTTGATGAAAACAGATAAATAAATCAACTTGCTTATATGCTACATATAAAAGCAATATAATAGAAAACTCCAATTAGATAATTTAGCAGTAGAAAGTTCATAAAAATCTGTATAAAATCCCTTGCATGAGACTGATCACTGGTATCGCCAGTTGCTTAACTTACCTAGCAAGACCAAAGTCTGCTAGGGTGGGAAATGAACAATATTCCTCAGCTTTTTTTCTTTTTTGGCAAAGCCGGTGGGGAAAAACGGAAATTAGAATGCAGCGACATCATAAAAAAAAAATCCAAAACATCAATTATGAGGAGAAAAAAAACAACACCACCACCACGTACACATAAATGAATATATCTGTCCACTAAATGTCCACTTGCAAAAAAATACATATTTTTCTCAATTTTTCATTTATTTTGATTTATTGTAATTACATCATGACTGTTATCATTTTAGTCTCTCAGGAAGAGATGAGAATGAGTAATATTTATATGTTCTGCTAGTTCATATGATCTGAAAAATAGAGTTTTTGTTTTTGTTTTTTGACAATGTGCAATATACAAAAAGAAACAAAGCCTCTTCAAATAAATACAACATTTGGGGTAATGTATTTTACTTTTATATAAAAGCTACAGGTCTGTTCTAAAAAAAAAAAAAAAACGAAAAAAAAAAACAGGCATGCGTCAACTACGTGAGTTTCCAAATCAGTTTTTTAACAGGGTCACAAATCACGAGCCATGGACCCTATGGACTTCACAAAGCACTTTGACTAATGCAAACAGCTTCACTTAAGTAGGGTTTTGTGTTTCAGTGCAAAGATGCTTTATGCTTTATTCAAAGTCCGGTGCAGGAACAGAATTTGGCCTTTTCCACAAGTCCTCTGGCGGCTCTATGAACATTCGCTCTCTTAAAAGAGTCACGTTCGTACCTGTCTCTCTATGTTCTCAAAAAAAAAGGCTCTGTTTGCAGTGGGCTTTGCTTCTCCCTTTCCTAGAGCAAGAAAGGTTGGACTGGAAACCACCACCACCACGGTCACATAACGAAAAAACAAACAAGCACAAGAAAACACAGAGACGGCGAGTGGACCGAAACTCAAACGGAGGATGAATGGACACAGGGCCTAGCGCTGAGAACGGCGATGGTGTACCCGTTTGGCCTCTGGGCGCAGAGCCGGTACCGGATTGGGCTCGTCCTGACCGTGCTGGGAGGGAGTGTCCGTCAGATAGACCTCCACGTCATCAGGCACTTCTTCAAGAAAGTTTGATGGAACCAAGCCCCGATGTCCATTCAGCTCACCCTGCGAGTCAGAAAAACGTACAATGCTGCAGGCGCAGAATAAAACGGAGTGAGTGGTCAGCGCAACAATGATACTTACATAATAGAAGCCATCTTCATCTATATCCCCAAAAACAGCAATGATGTCACCAGCACAGAACGTCAGTTCAGCCTGCCACAGAAAGCACATGATCAGCAACTATTCACAAAGGCATATTCAGCAGATTGAAAACCTGACTAATATATATATATAAGAGTGTGTTTTTAACACCTCAACATCCACATTTGGGGAGCTCTCTCTGGGGTCGTAGTCGTACAAGGCAACCATTCTTCTTGTGGCCACTGGGTGGCGACCTCTCCTATTTTGTTCTGATGGGGGAGAGAATCAGTTACTTTGTGGGATAGGCAGGCTATGTACAAAATAACATTTGACTGGTTAGCATGATCCAGTTACTGGTAGAAAGCTCTGCACCGATGACCATAAAAGTAGCCATGTATTTGTTATATATTCGAACAAAGTAAAAAAAATAAATAAAAAAAGTTTGGGGTCAGTAAGATGTTTTTAAATACATGAATACTTTTAAAGGCCATTCACACTAAGTACAATAACTATAATGATAACTATAAAGTTTTAATAATTGTATGAGAATAGGGAAATCAACATCACAACTATAATGATAATGTCATGAGTAAGAATATCATTTGGAATCACTCTCAGAATGATTTTTTCCAGCTAAGGAATGATTGAATTGACATTACCAAATCAGAATCTATCCTTTAAAGAGCTCAAGCATGTAAAGTGTCAAATGACATAACTTGCTCATAATAAAAAAGAGCGTTATCGTCCTTTGGTGGGTACTTAATAATGTATTAAGTTTAACAAAAGTGACAAATTCTGTTTCAAATAAATGCTGTTATTTTGAACTTTATATTCATGAAAGAATCCAGGAAAAAATGTATCACAATTTTCACAAACATATTAAGCAGCACAACTATTTTCATTTGTAATAATATTTCAAAATATTTTTTTTTAACTGTATCAAATAAATGTAGCATTGGTGAGCAAAAGGGACTTCTTTTAAAAACAAACAAAAAAAATAATAATAATAATCATACCAACCCAAAACCTTTAACAATAAGTTTGGAAAACTTTAATATTTTTGTCATTATAATAAGTTTAGATAACTGTGACAGGAAAAACACCAACCAATTCTGTCTACAGGGGTATTGAGAGGGAGAAATCCTTGTTTCATGAGCTGCTCCATGGTCTCATCATCCTCAGCACGGATTTCCGACACCATGTTACAGGGAATAAGTCCAGACCTGCCTCGGATCTCCCCACGATAAAAGCCATCATTATCCTTATCGCCATACACCTTAGACACACAGATAGACGGATGCTGAAACAATGAAAGGGGCATTTAACAATAGATCATTAACTCCATCTGAGCAGTACCTTTATAATCTGGCCCTCTTTAAAAGGGAGTTCCTCATCAGCTGCGTCAGGGTTAGGGGACATGGAGAGAGGGTCATAGTCGAAGAGGGCCACAAAGATTCGAAACTGCTCCTCCTGCTCAGATTCATCATAGTATGGGGGAGAACGCCGGCATCGGTCCCTGTATCCATCTACAATGAGAAAGATAGGTAAAAAAACCAAGATGTCTAATAGACAGATTTAAGTGGTACCATATTATTCCTATACAGTACATGGATAGCTGAAAAGTCGTTTTCTGATATAAAACATTTTTTTTTAGTTAACAATATCTTGAATAATTTATTTACTGTTATGCTACTTATATTAATTGAGAAAAAAATATATTATTTTTATTAATATTTGCAGACATGCTCATAAAAATGTGTCACTTTGAAGGTCCATTGACAAAACTGAAGGAAAAAAAATCTATAAAAAGTTATTCATATTGTGATGTTGTGTGAATTGTAAACAAATTACAAATAAAAAGAGGTTAAGCTGCTTAAAGATTTTCAGCATTCTTTGATGATGAATAGTATATTCAAAAGAACTTTGTAAGATAAATGTCTTTACTGCTGTGGTGTAAAGTATTTGAGTAAATGTAATTAGTAAATTTACTTAATTATATTTTTGGCTACTTTGTAGTTGGACTTAGTATCACAGATAAAACAACTTTTACTCCCTACTTGACAACATTTTTAAATAAGAATCAGTACTTTTATTCCAATACATTTGTAATGAGCAATGCAATTTCTTGGTACATTTTGCATGGCACCTAACATTGTCAGCAGTTCATAAGTGCAACAAAAAGAAGCGATATCGCCATCTACAGGGCATTGAAGATAATATCTTGTGTGTTTGGCCTTTGTTCTACCAAACTTGTTAACAAGGTTACTTTAGAACGAATGCAAGCGCATGGTAGTTGTGAATCGCAGGTGTTTCAGAATCAGTTGTGGGGTCAGGACACGGCTCCAGCCGAACCCAGCACGTCCACTACAAGTAGGCTTATTTTATTTAGCAGTTATATTGAAGAGAACATTTTAAAGGATATTGGTTTACTCACAGTGTGCCACTTATTGAGCACTTGATCTTAACTGAGACTTTAGTGTTTGAAGATGTTTAAGAGGCTGTTAAGTGGACGTTTAAGTGGCTGTTGTCGACCTTGATTTATTACAATATTTACAGCAGGTGTTCAGTTTAATTTAGAAACATGTGATTGCTCTCTTCACAAATCAACTGTTTCTTGTTTTCACTGACATATCTCTTAGGTGTTAAGGACTAGTGCATCTTTGAGGGTACTTGAGGTACTGTATGAGTTTACTCATACAAGTAAAATACCTAAAGGGATAATTCACCCAACAATATCTATATTTTTTATGTATGTATGTGTATATATGTGTATCATATATCAAATTCAAAATCAAATATATATATATATATTTCATATATGTCTGTCATCATTTTCTCACCCTCAAATTGTTCCAAACCTGTATGAATTTGAACAAGAATAATATTACAAAATATACAAAACAATATACAAAACATCTTTGTGTTCAGCAGAAGAAAGAAACTAAAACAGGTTTGGACTTGAGGGTGAGTAAATGACGACTGAATGTTTTTGGGTGAACTATCCCTTTAATTACTGTTAAAATCAGATACTCTAAGACATTTACTCGAGTCATATTAGAATTGGTGACTTGAAACTTGTAATGGAGTCATTTTTACTGTAAGGTCACTTTTACTCCAGTGTGGTTTTCAGGTACTCTTTATGGTCATTATTAAACAGTTTAATGCATCCTTTCTAAATAAAAGTATTAATAAAAAAACAAAAAACATACTGACTGAATTCATTCATCTCAATAGCAAAATGTATCTCAATTAACCTGAATTTACCCTGAATTGGGAACCCTATATGTATATACCCGGACCTATACAGTAGGCATGACTTGATGGTATGCTTTCAAGATTTTTTTTAAAGAATCCAGAGCACATTTTGAAGCAAGTAACAAACAGTATAAATATTATTATCTCTGTGTATAATAATGTACAGTGTGAATAAGCATGCAAATCAGTCCAATGGAGTGGAATGACACTCCATACTTGCACAAACCATTTATTTGCCAAACACATCTTGGGTGGGTTGAAAGAAACAGACATTTCTTACCGTAATATGATGGCTATGATGTGTGTCACTGTGTGTGTTTGCCTGTATGTGTGGGTATGTGACGATTGAGAGTGAAACACCCATATGGCAGCCAATTACAGATGAACAGCAAGCCAAACATGAAGCTCCTGACAGGCACACACACACACACAGAGAGAGAAAGAGAGAGAGAGAGAGAGAGGGAAGGGGGGAACACACAGTCTGAGCTACTGTAACCATGCAGAGATCTGGATCTGAGAAAGACTCATCAGATGGGGCAAATTAGTCCTGGATAAAACTACACCTGTTTCCCTTTCTCCCTGACGCATCTACAGAGCTGTGCTAGATTGTGATTCCAACTTGCCCAATGTGCATTCCACACAGTTGCCTTTGCAGTCGATGCCAAGGAACCGTTTGCGTTCTCTTCCTGGTCAACCATTACCAATGTACAAGTTTCATGGCATTCGTTCGGCGTTAGATGCCACCCTTTAACTTTCACCATTCAGGCATGCATGGCCAAAGTAAAAGAATGAGAGTGGTCAGGTTGATAATAGGGAGGTTTGGCAGGCATCCATTGGTGGGGCAGTGCAAAGGGGGAGGAGCATTCTCTGTGCAAACATGTTGCTAATGGCTATCTTACAGCACCACTTCCAACACAAGCTTCCATCGTGGTGCAGTCCAGTGCAGTTTCATGCGTTCGGCCATTTTCTTTCTCCTCGGACCCCACTCTAAATGCTGCAGCTTCAACACGTACCATAAGGAGGCCTGCGTTCCCCGTGCCTCCGGGAGGAACATGTCCTGTGCCGTGCTACACTGCCATAGTAAACATCCTCCTTGACGGGAGAGAGGTTCCCTTCACTGTTACTCTCAGTGGTTATCTCTGAGGGAAACACCAATCAAAGAGTCGTTATACCATGCGAAGGCTTTTCCTTGTCAACCTGCCCAGGCTGGAGACACCTAACTACACTGGCATCTCTGTGGGAAACCCTGGCTGCGTCCGAAAGCTTAGGCAGCTGACTTGCTTAGGCATGGCTGCCCTGTCGGGCAATGACTTTGCAGGCAGCGATTGCGTATAAAGGTACCTCCCGAAACTTTAAAACAGTTTAACGATCAAAATAGAGAGCTTTGGTGGTAACTAAACACATATTTGATTACAAGTTACAACAATATTAACTTCTCACTAGAAATGACGTCAAAAGTGGAAAAAGTTGGTCAAAAACATACATTTACCCAAAAACTGACCAACAAACGCAACTTTTATATTGATAAGCTCACAGAATGCACAGGATTGTGGGATATTATCTATGCTCCCTTCCAAAATTGATCAGATAAAGGTATCCCAAAAGACTTGATGAGACACGATCACTGGATTCGGACATGCCTTGTTGCCTTCCTACCTCTATATTGCTGCCGGCAGAGCCAGCATTTTTTTTAGATTTCGGACGCAGCTTTTAAGAGAGACGTAAAGATTCAGAGAGGGTTAGAATGAACCCTCTGAAAGCAACAGGATATGGTTATGATTGGAACACACAGTGGTGGTCTGGTACGCATTGACAAGCTTATGGACGTTTAACAGTTCAAAAAGAGACAATGGGGAGCAGGAGGACAGACAGGCCCTGAAAGCAAGTCTTGGACTCCTGTCTCTTACTGGGAGAGCACTGACCAATGGATGGGACCGTGAGGGGTCGGCGCTGAGGTTGAGGACCTCGGTGAGATGGCTTCCGGTATGAGTCCCGATCCAGCTGACTCGAAGACTGAGTGCTGCCTCCAGTCTTGAATCGGGAAGAAAGCAAATCAGTTACAGCCATGCAAACCAGGATGTCATTGGGATATCGGGAGATGTCTTTCGCTTTCTGCGATACCTTAAGTGCATTGTGGGAGTTTCGTCGCCTGCCTTCTTCGTGCTGCATTTCAGAATACAACTCCTCTTCGTCTTCTTCCATGATGTCTGAGAGGTCCGAGCCTCGACTGCTGTCAGTATGATACTCCTCGCTGTGACTGTAATGAGACTGTGAAATGCCGATTGTGAGAGAAAACGACAATCCAAAGCTAATGCAACATACCAAAGCATTCAATGCTGACATTTGCCTCTTATGCCTGTGGTTGTGTGGTAAGGCAATCACTTCAACTGCCATACCTGCCTGCCCAGCTCTGAGCCCCTGAGGAAGTCATCCACAGATGCTCCACTTCTGCGGGCCTGATAGCTTTCCTCATCCTCTTCCTCATCTGAATTTTGAGAGTAAAAGCCCTGGCTTCTCCTCTCCATCTAAATGTATTAAAGTACTTTCAGAAGTCTTAATAAAGAGATCTGACAGTTACGCTGAGGTTAAGTAACGGACAAAATATCTAATCTTTTGTATGTTCATGAAGTCTTTTCATGAAAAGAGTTCTCATTTGCATATATTAACCTTAGAATGCATAAACGGGTCAAATTGACCAGATAGGGTGTTGTTATTTGATTATTTTTGATTAATTGATATTTGATGAATTCCTCATAAATATTGAGCCTCAGCAAAACTATATTTGTTTGTAGGATCAGAAAAACTACCCCAAGTCTTCATAAAGGGGGTCAAAATGACATCCTATTCTAACTTACCATGGGTTTTGTCAATAATAATAAAAAAATTCATCACATTTTTCTATCTGCATAATAATCTATAAATAGAATATTATAGATTTGCTATATAATCTATAAATTAAAAGTTGCCAGCAAATTCAAATTTCTCAGATAAACACATTAGTTGTAGTTATTAGTTATATTTAATGGAAACATGGAAAGGAACATTACAGAAACATTTAAACATGCATATAATCATATTCATAATATTGTTAAGTATACATTGTAAATATATAAACAATTTCATTTAAATAATTTAATTACACTTAAAGCGATAGTTCACCCAAAACTGATCATTCAATCACCCTCTTGTGTTTCCAAACCCATAAGACTTTGGTCAATATTTCATCTATATATATATAAGACTTTGGTCACTTTTTATGATGAACAGAGTTAACTAGGCTTTTATTCAAATTAAAAACACATACATAGTCACATTTGTCGCATCTCATGTTAAACACAGAAGTCTGTGTGTGTCACAAGTAGTCACTGGTTCTTGTGCATCATGCATACACTTTTGAGTTTTTTAGCATATGTGATATGTGTTTAGCTCTATATATGTGTTTGTCGATCATTGAGATAAAAAAAAAAACTTAAAATATTTATTTTTCATCATTTATATACAGTAGCTATAATTTCTCCTTACAATATTTGGCTTACCGTTGGATTCATACGGGTTCATTTTACAACGCCTTTTTGGATCTTCTAAGTTTTGGTTACCTGGAGTTTCAATGGAAGGACAGAAACCACACAGGTTTTATTAAAAAAAAAATATTTTAATTGAGATGAACGACATGGGTTTGGAAAGACATGAGTAAATGATATTTGGGTTAACGAACTAAGAAAACAAAAATCTAAATAAAAGTATACATTAGAAAATAAATAAAATATATAATAATAATAAAAAAAAAGACTCCTATTTGGGTCGTTTTGACCCCCATTATTCATGTAGGTTTTTTTGGTCATGCATTCTAGGGTTAAGGTTGGTTTGCAACCACTGTACATTACATGCTTTTTGCTGACTTGACTCACCCGTCCACTCTCTGCAGCCACTCTTTGGGCTGCCTCTCTGGCAATAGCCTTGGCCACAGTGTCAGGAATAAGTGTACCCCTTGGCTGAGGGAGGATCCTTTGAGGTGACGGGGAACGGCGGTTCGGGCAGGCCGGGGCATCCAGGGTGTGTCCATGTTGCTGGCCTGCGGGCATGCCTGATGGGGAGCAGCCGGGCTCCCATGGCTGAGGTGGGCCCCCTCCATGATTAATCATTCCTGGCCCTGGCTCTTTGGTTTCCAGCTCTCTGGCACTTAGTGGTTTTTGGGATTGGGGAAGGGCCAGTTGAGGAATGTGAGGCTGGGGCATCGGGATAGTTGGCTGGGGATGGAGCATAGGTATAGGCGGCTGGGGTTGGGGCATGGCCATGGGCTGCTGGGGTTGGGGCATGGCCATGGGCTGCTGGGATTGGGGCATGGACGATTGAGGCTGGGGCATTTGCATGGTGTGCTGAGTTTGAGGGATTGGGTGTGGTTGTAAAGGCTGGAGGTGAGGTGGAGAGGGCTGTGTGGGATGGGGCATATGGTGTGGATGGAGGTGAGATGGGGGCAGGTTGGGTCTAATGGTGAGGGGTTGGAGATGGCTGGGTGGTTGGGATCCAGGGTGAGGTGGAAGGGACCGTATTTGGGGATGTGGAGGCATCGTTTGGGACTGCTGGGGTGGGAGAGAGGACTGCATGTGGTGAGAAGGAGGGAGGGCTTTAGGAGGAGGCACCAGCAGGTGGTTTGGAATGACGGCGACATGGGAGTCTTGAGATTCCCCTTGTGCTGATAAAGTCCTGACGATAACTTCACGGGCCTCCAAGCACTGTATACGGTTCAGCTCTACTGCCACATAGTCTGCCATTGGATACAACACCTCGGCGATCTGAAACAGCATTCGTTTTAGCATTAAGGTGCAGTCACATTAACCATGGTTCAGTTAATTTTTCATGGGCGAAATCCAGTAATTTCAGTAGGAATCCACAAAATTAGGAAAGATTTCCCCATGCTGATTTCACAAAGGGATTAAGTGGTTCCAGCAAATGTGCTGCGTTGAGCAACAGAAAGCTGCTTGCTTTGAAAGTAACTTATGTGTGGGCTTCGTACAACACTACACTAACTGACAATAGACAATGGGTATTTTTCAAACAAAATTTCACATTTGACTTGACAAAAGTTTAGAATCGACATTCTCATTAATCACCCAAATAACATAAAAGAAAGACCTTTAAGATTCATTATACAAAAACACCAGAAACAATGAATTCAAGTGTTTGGAACCACCCTGCTCCACCAACAGGGGTCATCAGTATAACTTTTTAATAAAATCGGTCTTGATGACTTTTAGCGAACCTGACTTGATGTCACCACTGATGTGATTGCTGATGCACACGTACTTACCCTCTGACCCTTAGTGCACACTGCATAGCCAATGACACTTGCACCATTGGAGAATCCCATAGGTGTCATTAGAGGAGGCTTCCAACGCACTTGAAGGACCCCTGGGGCATGTCCACACTGGACCTGGACTTCTTGAGGAGGAAGAGGGGGTCCTGGGGAGGGACAGATAACCACCAGATATTATATAATAAATGCATGATATTTAGAAAGGATTGTGTTCACTAGATTAATTAGCTTGAGCTCAAGTTTACAGTAATATGGTCATTCCAACAGCTTCACAGCTGAATTAAGAGCATATATTACTTCCAAGTGTCTCGACTAATTAATTAATCCAATTAGCCACACTAAATCTTTTTCTGTTGCCTTCGACTATGTTAAGTGGAGTGTTGTGCTAATCAGAACAACAAGAATAGCTGTTTTCTAGTCTATCTCAGGGAAGACTGTGTATGCTCTGTTTAAGTGAGAGTTTTAGCCTTAGTGGGTAAAAATACTGATTTTCTGATCTACATTTAATAAATCCTGATGTCGATTCTTATAATGTCAAGAGCAGAATTTTACTCTTTGCCTATTTTCAGTGGCTGTGTGAAAATCTGTTTGTTCAGCAGCACTTTCTGTAAGCAGCACAATCTACTGAGCTAACTCTACTGTAGACTTTAGAACCTGTTAAAAATGTACGATTGTACTAAGCTAGAAGGTTCCTGCTCCCCTACTGATGATTTTACCAGAGCTATTAATGTGTTTTCACTGTATGTTTTGAATGTGATGAAATCAAAAGCTGTATATTGCAAAAAATAATGGACTTTCTTTTGAATTTTCCTCGGTGGCTGAGACCTGTTTGCCCAATAGTGGCAAGAAACATATGTATATCATGTTTAACCGACGCAGATTTGGGTGGGTTTCTCCCATCCCCATACAACGTCACTTCTCTGTCTTTCACTGCCCTGACAAGAACGTCAGTCTTATCGGCTGTCAACATCGGCTCCTTGCGCGCGCCTGGTAAACCCGCCGTTATAATAACAATCCATCATGCAACATACGCACCTGCTCTTAAAGGGTATGTTGAATGATGCTCTGATTGGTTTTTCACGTTACGCCCAAATCACACCTATGAATAATGAGGCTACTTCAGACCAACCCCTTTGAAACTTGCACCGGGCGCAAGAGTCATTTATCCCGCTGGTAAAATAGCAACAGCGGCCAAGACCCGCCCACAAAGTTACTTGCACTTTGCGCTTGATAACTTGCGTTTCAGATCGTTAAAATAGGGCCCATAGTGTAGTTCAATCCACAATCAAATGAATCTTATGAACTGGTTATTTGAAGTGAATCTAAAACGCACAGCAAAACATTGTATTGTGATTCACAAACAAATGACTCTTTTGAACTGGCTATTTTTAGTTAATCAAACATGCAGCGCAACAGTGTAGTTTAATTTACGAACGAATGACACTTATGAGCATGTTGTTTAAATAAATAGATCAAAAACAGCAATATCAGAGACATTAAATAATAACTTATAAATGAAATACACACAAATGAATCACAAATAAATCAAATTGGATCTAATATGAATTTGTGGATCACAATCTAACCTAGAAAATATAGGTCTATGCATCTCAACATTGGCGCGATATCTGAACAATATTAGAGTTGAAACTTGCCTGCAGCCTGGGTGCAGAACTCCACCCCAGCCTCTCTCTTCTCTCTCTGCTCCAGGGGCATGTGCCAGGGCACCTGGTGAGGTTTGGCCAACACTTTTACCTTGTACACTGTGGCAGCCTTCAGGTTCACAAAACGCAGTTTGTAAGAGCACGGCTTGACCACAGCATGCTCCACACCATCTAAGTGCACTACATGTGAGTAGTTACTATTACTGGGCAGCCAGGAAAGTTCAGCGGAGTCCCGCAAGATGTCATCCATGCGCAGGCAAGTGGGGGCCACCACAACATTGCGGCCCACCAGCAAGGTGCAGCGCAACTCATCGGAAAGACCCCTGTCCGTCACGCTCTGTACCGACACACGGTAGGTACAAGCAGCCAAGTCTAGCTTCTCAAGAAGCAGTTTGGTCCTGCCCCCAAATGGCACAGAGGAACGCACTTCCCCATCCACTAAGATATTGTAGCCGTTGATGTTGCCCCAACCGAGGGGCACCAGAGGCGCTTCCCAAGCCACTATCACACTTCTTGCCAGCTGTTTGATCAGGTTGATCTTCCTAGGGTAAGGCACGATGTTGTCGCCCAGCTCCTCTCGGTCCAGAGCGCCTGTCCCGTTGCTGCAGTGGCCGAGGGCATCACTGCTAAGGCTGTCTAGAGGAGCAGCTCCATCTATGGCAGTCAGGCTCAGACAGCTCTGCTCCAGCCTGCCCTGCTCCTCTTCTCCATCGATAGATGGCTTTTCCTTGTCCTGGACAAATTCCACAAAATTAGAGGGAACCAGGCCACGCTGCCCATCCAACAGCTCTCCTAGAACAAAGACAAAAAGAAAGATCTCATAAGCTGCAACAGATCTCATTACATAAAATGTAATTGTGATGAATTTTGTAAGCATGTCATTATAATACATGCTGTCATGTAATGCTTAATGATTAAATTCACTGTTACTTGTCTATGTATCATTTATCCATTAGCAAAAGTTGTTAGGATTTTTTTTTAGATGTTGGATGATTATAGATCTGGGGCCTCATGTATAAACATTTCAGGTCACGCATGTAAGCATAGCCCCTAAGAAGTGAAAGAGACCCCTAGAGGACACTTTGGGCATGGCCAGTGTCTGAAGCACAAGTGAAAACACAATGAACTTGACATTGGCACCTGACAACCTATGACGCACAATTGATGCAACTTCTTTACCTGAAGGAGAATTGGAGGAATACCTGAAGAAAGGAGACGCAGTGTCTCATTCCCTTTCTCAGGGAACCATGGTTACATGTGTAACCTGAGACGTTCCCCATTCGAAAGGAGAACATGCACTGTGCCCCCTCAAGGCAACTTGGGGGAATGAATGCCCACTCCACCTTGATGAAGGGATGAGTGCCTCATCGGCTGACATTAAAGCATACTCTATTAGAGAAAGTCCAGGCTTGTGCCCTTTCTCCCTTCCCTGCAGGGCTGAGCCAAAAAAGAAACACAGTCCACAGGCAGAGCTCAAGGGTTTAGTATTCCTGCTGAGAATACCTTTAAGGGAATGTGGTCAATGAAAGGAGCTCTGAGAACAGATGCCTCGATGTGATGCTTCTCTAAAGCCAAAGCAAGCCTAAACACATTCTACACCTAGGTTAGTTTCCCAAAGAAGCTCACAGAGAGCATAACAACTCAGAATTGCTATCCAGGTAGAGTCAGGTGATTACCCTATAGTGGTCCGGTTTAAGTGCAGTAGCCAAGGAGGCTCACAGAGAGCCTAGAAGCTTAGCCCCTGGCTGAGCTCATGGAACGGAGGCCTCAGCACTACGTCTTACACCTGTCAAGGAGGCTACATAATAGGGCCAGCAGCTCAGGTAAGCAGAGGCCTCTAACAGAATGACTGTCTATAACGAGAGGAGGCCAAACAACATTCCCAACCCAGGAGTACCAAGGAGGCTTACAGAGAGCCTGTAACTGCCTAGCTGGGCTCTAAGAACGGAGGCCTCTGCATGATGACTCTCTAAAGCGAGAAGAGGCCTAACTTTGTTCTACAGTCAGGACAGCTTCAAAGAGGCTCGTCTGGAGCCTAACTAGTGAGAACTGCTCTCCAGGCGGAGCTCTGGGGAGCAGAGGCCTTAGAAACATAATTCTCTATAGCAAGAGGAGGCCTAGCAACTCTCCGGTTTAAGAGCAGTAATTTCACTAAACTTATTGCTCACTAAAAAAAAAAACAGTCATTATGTTTTCAGGCAATTTTGATTTTGAAGTAATGATATAACACAAACCAATCAGAGCCAATCATAACCAATCACAATGCGATGTAGGCATTGCCTCCTTTCATGTGACTTTCCAGCCCGTTCTCATCCTTTAGCGTCACATAAAACGGTATATGACAAAACGGCGCAATAATACGCACATGGCACCCTTTATCGTTAATATAACACGCGAACCCAAGACGTCATAAATCCTTAAGCGTGAATATGACACGCAGACCCTAGCCCACACCTAAACTTAGCACTCACAGCGCGTGTTATATTAACGATAACGGGTGCCATGTGTGTAGTATAGCGCAGTTTTGTCATATAGCGTTCTATATGACGCTAAAGGATGAGAATGCGTTGGACTTTCCACCATTCGTGCACATTCACCCCCTACATTTTTTACAAATGTTTTATACATTTATACATTTTTTGGTGTCAAATTTTGTAATATCGTGTTGTTTTATTTTTGTAATATGAATTATTTTCTCATCCTATTTTTTTGAGGAGGTACTGCCTCCTTGGAGGAAATGTCCCTGGTGCGTAGAAAATTGCCTACGCACATTTATATACCCATTTTGTGTGTACACAACGTTTATACATTAGGCCCCAGGTATTTTCTTAATTTAAACTCTTAATTTTGAACATTAATTACGCCTCTCACATAACTCAATTACCTTCATAAAATCCATCATCATCCATGCCTCCATATACGTACAAGTATTTTCCTGCCACAAGAGGGAGCTCTGCTTCCGGATGCTCATTAGGTCCATCATAGGGATTATAACTGACCAAAACACCAGACAGTGAGTGGAAAAGAAAACAAAAAAAAACAGTAAAATACAAACACACATATATATGTATAAGTTCAAGTATGTGTGTAATAGATATATACCTTTTACTCAGAAAGTCAGTAAGATTTGCAATGCTTTGTACATGGAACACTATGACTGTTTTCTATTTTAATATAGGCCTATTTTAAAATGTAATTGATTCCTGTGATGGAAAAGCAAAATTACTCCATTTATCAGTTTCATATGATATTCCAGAAATCATTCTAATAGACCTTATTCCCAGCAGCGCCATCTTTAATTTTTGATGGGAATTAAAGCGAGCCTGTAAGGGATGGACATCCATCTCTTCAAGTGGTTGTATCGTTATTTAATGTGTTTTTGGATTGTTCTTCTGAAAAAAATAAATAAATAAAAAATATCAGTAGACAAAAAGCTCCTGACAATATAAGCTGTGGAAAATTATAAGTGATCGAGGAGTTTTATATAGCTTTTTACAGCAGATGTAAGTCTAACAAAGTCTATCCCTCACAGCCTCGCTTTCATAGCCACCCCAAAATTTTGAACAGTACTTATATATACTGTATATAGAGGGTAAGTGGTAAGAAAAGTACCTGTAGCGGGCAGTGCAGAGGCGGACCTGACCTGTGTATCTTGCCTTGGTTCTTGGAGCTGGTCTCACCTCATCATCCATCTGGACAGAGGAAATCAGCTGACACACTTGATCTTTATCTTTAAATTCCACACATCACAACATAAATGTACTTATGGCAATGTACTATGAGAGTGTTTGTGTGAGGATCATTACATAACATCCTTTTATTTACAGTCCTGCTCCCAATGTGCACAGTGCATGCAAGTGTTCATGGATGATCTGATTCATGTATGATTAAGTGCACAGAGCGGAGATGATTATTACCTATTTGCATTGATGTCAATCACATAGCCAGGGAAAATATAAAGCTGAAGTTTGAAATTTCTATGGTGGTGATTGCATCACCAAACGGAACTGCAAAAACAATGACTGTTTTTAAACAGGTTTTGCCATTGGTCAAGAACTCACGCCATTGGTTAAGCCAATTTGGCTGTGTCAAGCTGGCTGAGACGCTCAAACAAACAGCACAATGTTTTTATAGAAGCATCGAGTCATAGTCTTTACAGTTTATTGGCAAAATAAACAATTTAATGATTTAAATGATTTATAGCTGGGACAAAAGTGAATATTTTAACATTTAAACAATTTTACTTTTCACATTTAACTGTTAAAGGGGTCATGAACTGATTTTTTAAATTTTTTTTTATATTGTTGTCTGAGGTCAACTTATGATGTTCGCTTGGTTTTTAGATTAAAAAACATCAAAATAAATAAGTAATAGGCTATTTTCTACCCTAGTTTTGAGCCCAGCTCAAAAACGCTCGGTTTTTATGGGCGTCTTGCACTGAAGACAAACACCCACTGCTGTGAGTCGATAACAGTTTTGCATATTATAATGAGTTTCACTCTCAAGCTATGCGTGTAATGCGCGAATCGGTGGGCGGGGCTAAACCGGCCGTGTTGAAGTAGGCGTTGATCTTCTTCTGCGGGGGTGGTGTTTTATCCTCTTTGACGTCATAGTTCCCCACTTTTAAAAACGAGTCGCTTGCTGAGGCTGGTGTCAATAAAAGCTTTTATTGGACTAATAAGGACGTTTTCACTTCTGAAACTTACAGGATATTTTTATAATATGATGACCAAAGCTCAAGGAAAATTAGATTTCTCAGTTCATCACCCCTTTAATTGTCCACATTCCACTGAGACTTTAGGAAAGAAATTCATTTGTTTACTGTATGTGTAAATGAAATCACACATTTAGGCATCTAAAGCATCAGACAGTCTTTCACCCAAACATCTGATAGGAGGTCATATATGTATCTAATTATAGAGAGAGAGAGAGGGGGGCAATTATAAAAGCATGAAATGAGCACATTTCTTCTCTCTTGAGTAAAATACAGGCAGATAAACAGATACCGCTATCTGCTCGTGGCCATCGGTTAACCGAATGATCACCGTGTCGCTGTGACTGAGGGAGACAAACCTCTGAGAGGGATGCTTGCATGGGGCTGCTGGAGCGACTCTGGGTTTGGATGGTGGGTTTGACCGACAGCTGCTCTGGCTTGTCAATCTTGTGTTGCTGTACTATGGGCAATTCTGAGACCAGTGGAGTTCCATCAGATCTCTCATCACCTGCAAGCATGAGTTATAATGGAAATCAATGACTTTGATCATTGAACAATAAGAGGGATCTGAACAAATTTTCCCTGTCACTGTTTTGCCTGAGTTCTAGTAATTTGTTGCTATGGTTTCTGATAGTGCACCTGTTCCCTGTTTCTTTGATTCACAGCTTCAATGTATTTAAGTTCCACATTAACATCTATGTTTGATGTGTAGTGTTTTTTCTGAAGTTCACCAAGTGTTTACGTTTCCTTGTTTATTTCATTCTGCGTCATGCATCTTCCTCAGTGGACTACACATGCTAACCTGTTACCTGGAAATGAATATATTCAATGTTGTTTACTGTACATACTTCTCCAAGGGACTTTAAAGAAAGAAACGTTAGTCGAAAATGCTAATACTATGGAAACATCCAAAATACAGTGATATGAAAAGACCTTTTCATTTAAATTAGAGACATTTCAGGAAGGCCAGAAGGGATAGAAAAATGTTATAACAACTTCCCATGATTTTGTGAAGACTATAGTTCATGTGAGGGGGGGAAACTGTTTTAAAAAAATGCTTTGCTCACTTTTTTCTGCCTGGTGCTGTAGGCTGTTGTAACTGTTGCTCAGGTTTTTCTCCTGCGAGTCAATGTGGAGCGTATCTTCAGTGTCTGACCCCAGGTGATATTTCTCCAGCTTTTTTGACAAAATATTGCACTGCTCACTCCGTGTCCGGCATTTCTGCTCTAAGTCATGAACCTTGACCTTTAAGGGACAGAGTAAGGAATACACAGGAAAGAATTACTCAAAATATGAAATCAAATTGCTTATATCATACATAGGAATAAATAGACAGGAGAAATACGCTGAACTGTAGCAGTAGTTCTCAAATGGTTTGGCTTCAGGAACCAGCAATATTACACAAAATTACACCCAACCATATGCAAAATTATTAACAGGAAAACAGACAATTTTGTAAACACATACACAGCAGAGGTGTGATTTACCAGCCTAGCACATAGAACAAACACCGGGCCAAATACTGTATCATTAGCAAAATCCCTGCTATTAGACATATTACCCAGCACTGAATACATTTTGGATAAAATGCTGTAAAGTTTGATTGAATGCACAACCAGTGACAATAAGAACATGATATGGGAATTGTTTTTTTGGTTTTTTTTTTTTTTTTTTTCCATTTTAGAAGTTAATAAGCCCATTTAATCTGATATTCTTAAGGGATCATTGAAACAAACACACTTTAGTGGTTAAAAGCGTGAGAAGCAGGGCAGTGGAATGAACAAAAATAAAATCAGTCACTTTATTTTTCAAATGTACACTGAATTTAGAACACTGTGTGATCCACAATACGCTGCAAAAGGCACGAAACGCGAGCACAACGGTCAAATGCATTCGTCTAGTCCATGTTTACATGGAAAGATATGGAAATGCAAAAAATGCATTCTGTGTGATTAAAGTTAAGTTAGTAAAGTTAGTTCAGGTACATTGGAAGTCTCATGCGTTTCTCAGAGTCAGCTTTTATATATATATATATATATATATATATATTTTAAGGGAGAGCAAGGAGCAGCAAACATTTTAAGTGCAAAAAGAAAGAAACTATGTACAAATAGACTTTCTAATTTAAATAAGTACTCATTATAAAAGATAAAATCCCACCTGATCTGCCCACCCTGATCCTGAATGCAGAATTCAAAAGACAACTGAAAACTCATCTGTTCCGTGAGCACTTAACATAAAAAAAAATTCACTTTCACTTTATTTGGACGGTCCCTTTCACACATTGAGTATAAGTAAAGTTGCACCTACATCTCTACTAACTCTCACTAGAGGTACCGCTTACCCTCCTTAATGTCCTGTGCCACTAACCTAAAAGTGGCTGAAGAGAAGCTGTTAAACAGACAGGCCTTGTGAGTGCTGATGCTCGCAGGCCTGCGGTGTCTCAGATTGTAGCCTGTGTCCACCCACTTAAACAGAGCATAAGCTGGGTGGTGGTGTTTGTCCCTAAGGATGCTCTGTGCTTTCCTCCTGCAGCGCTGGGTGTATATAGCATCCACGGAGGGGAGGTTAGAGCCGATAACCCTTTCTGCAGTTTTATGACCCGTTGCAGCGATTATGAACAGATATAGACTTAGCTGCATTTGCATTTAGCATTGCTTTTTTCTTGCGAACCACTTCTGGATCACTAACCACTGAGCTACAGAAATATCTATAGTTTATTAATATGACACACACAACAAATATAAAGACAACTTATCTGCTTGTAAATAGATACCTAAGATAAATTAATTTAATTCATATTACCAGGAAAGCAAATGAATAATGGCTTAACACAGCAACTGCATCAAAGCATGCAATGAGAGCACTTTTTAATGCCAAAGGCACACACACACACACACACACACACACACACAGGTTAAGAGTATTATCTAACGGATTATAATACCATACTTAAACTTTTCCACTGTCTGGCCTAATGTTCTCATTGCTTAACTGTTCTATTTTGTGCCAATCCGGCCCAGCCTGTACAGATATGGTTTCATTTTTCCCTGTAAGGTGTAATAGAAATGCGTCAGTCAGTCATTGTCTTATAATGTAAGAGGTTACAGGTTATATGAGATGTAAATAGCAATATTGAGGATGATCAGATATTTCTTTTAACATTATCATTAATTATTTGCATTATTTACACTCAAATAGTGCACTAAGCCAGGCAACAGACAAGTGACCAATCCTGACTGGCGACGTCACAGCCAAAAAAGAGTTTGTAATCGCGCTGTGGCGAACCAAGCTCAAGTGGAAATATAACTGGAACTGTTCCTGACCATTCTGCCATAATTTCACCAGGTCCTGTTTTACACCAACAACAAATGACCTGATGAAACAGCTCGTCACAGCCACAGGAAAAGTTGATTTTGTTTGTTAAACTCTTAACTCTTCAACAGAAAACAATTCATGGCCACACAGATGAGTGCAGCAGCGGAGATACTCAACTGGTACACAATAATGCAATGGTTTTAACTATGAGAGTCACTCTCACAGGTCACCCAAAAATGGAAATTCGGGCATTTTTTACCAACCCCTAATATTGTTATTACAGGAAGGTAATCATAACATTTCAGTCAGATATTTACTCAAAGCTATGACTACGGTCTCAGAAACCTGTGAATGTAGAGCATTCAATGTGTTTATAGTGCTTTTGTGTGCTATTTGCAGCAAATAGTAAGAGTAAATTCTAAATACATGGGTTTGGAAAAAGTAAATTGTGACCCCCCCAAAAAATCTAAGATTATAAGACAGTAGCCAATGTAAAACTATGTGGGGAAAAAAGTATTTAATAGGCTACTCAATCAAAAGAATAAACACAACTACAAGCCAAGAATTCTTTTTGAGTGTAGGCCAAATATGCAATATACGTTTCTGTCTGTATAAATCAAGTATACTTAAGTGCAATTTTAAGTATATTTCTGAGAAGTATATAAAAAGTAAATGAAATATTACCTTTCTTATTTCCAGTTTGAAAGTAGTATACTAACAGCACACTTGAATAAACGTATATTTCATGAGGGGTGCCGTGGTCCATGTTGTTTGTATGTCTTTAATGAGAAAAAAACTGATATGGAAGGTTGCAAAAAAAAACTACATGAGTGAGAGTGTGTGTACCTGCATTTTGTCCATATGGCTCTGTTTAAACACAAAGGGAAAACAAATAAATATAAATCAGAATGACAGGGGAGATGAAAAATAACACAAAACTAAATAATATAACATAATATTCAACGTTGGAAAAAAAGATGAACTAAATGTCTAAGGACAAAATTGCAGGGTATAAAACAATATTAAATATGGGAAGAGGCAAAAATTATGAAGGTCATAAAAATTAGGAACCACTGAACGGTAGGGAACATACAGTACATAAGCTCTCCTCAGATTAAGCAGACAGTACGTGACAAGTAGATGCTTCTCAGACCGGCCCGACTGTCAGACATGGTGGTCTTTATCAAACACAAGAGGGATCCAGACAGGCCTAACCTGTCCCTTCAAAACTTATCAGATAATTGGGGTAGACGGATCTTTTTTGCACGCAAGGCAGACTCTGCTGACCATGCTATAAGGATGCCAAAGGACAGAATGAAAAGAAGTAGATTAAATTTTACCTCTAGCAGATGCACCACTTCTTCACGCTCTTTTTCAGTTTCAGCTTGAACCTGAAAATAAGAGATAGCGCATTTAGTTTAGCAGTACAAACGCAATTCCATTCACTCAAAGCCCGACAAACTCAAACCTCAGAAAGTAACTGCAACGTCAGTAGGACATTATAATCTCACAGTGATTCTGAAAGATTTGCCAAGATTTATTTGGCAAAGCTACTTCATCTAATTTCAGACATATTTATTGATCCCAGAGGGGAAATTCAGTATCTGAAGGGCAAAAATGGGAGTCAGAGTTTACAGCAGTTACTCATCATAAGTAAAGTGAGTAATATTACAGTGAAAACTGAGTGTTTGTAGGCAAGCTGGAAATTGAGAGATACTGTACATAGACAAGCTATGATTGCCATGATGAGACTTGTATCAGTAAGTCATTTGTGCATATATGTCTGTGTTGTGTATGTTCGAGAGGTGAAAGCTCTGTTGAACCGCTCCCCAGGGATCTGCACTGATCCGGTGTCTGCTGTCGGCTCTAATTGCTTTGTTTGCCTGTCGCTGCTCCTTCCTGAAAGGCCGCAGACACAAAGGAAAGCAGCCATGATCCTATCACTGATTTTATCCAGCCCAGCCAGAATATTTACTGCTTCCACATTAGACCATTTTCTTATCCTTACGTCAACTTCTGCAGAAAGACTGGAAAGGAAGTACGGCATGTCATAATCCTTATATATAATAAATAACAGATGAATATGATGTTGACATGAGGAATTGAACTGGTTCGACATAGTGATCTGTGCTGTGAAAAGCTTATATTTAAAATGTTTTAGGAATTAAATGTCTGACTCCTCTGGTTAGCTATAACTAATTTTATAGCTAGAAGTTTCAAGAATTTTTATATAAATTGTTTATATAAACTGTGATTTTGTCATTTATGGAGAAATCTGAAAAGGAATATATATATATATATATATATATATATATATATTTATATATTATGTTCACTGGGTTGGGGTAGAAATTGCTGTAATTGGTGAAAAACAATTGTATTGAACAAAATGTATTATATTTTCAATAAAACAAAGAGTGCAACTGATTCCAACATTGACATTAATAAAAAAATAATTCACAGGAATACATTATATTTAAAAATATATTCAAATAGAAAAGAGTAATTTTAAATTATAACAGTATTTAAAAATGTTACTGTATTTGTTTTATCAAATAAATGCTGTCTTGCTCAATATAAGAGACTTTTTTGAAAAACAAATTTTACAGACCCCAAACTTTTTAACAATCGTATACATAACTAAATTGTAAATACTTTATTATTTAAAAAAAAAAATCACACTTTAATATTAAACGTTTATATCTAGAATGAGTATAAAACAATCACAATCAATAAAAGGAATTTGAAAAGTTAAATAAATAAAAATCACCCCATGGAACATATAAGTGGCCATAGTTTAAGAAACACCCAAACTGTGAGTGTGTGTGTGCGTGTGTGTGTGTGCACAGACCGGTTTGAGGATCACTGAGGTTTTTACCTTCTGCAGAAGGCTGATCTCCTGCTGTCTGGAGTTGAGGAACACCAGGGCCTGCTCATGCTCTGCCTCCAATTGCTGCCGCCGATCCGCAGCCTCTCGCATATGCTGAGAAATAAATAGAAAAACAGAAAGAGAAAAAAGGGGATTGTGTTAGAATTAGGACGTGTTTGTAGAAACCCCTGCTTTCTTAAACATACATTGTAGAACAGAACAATTAATCACTGTTCTGACCTGCTGTTTTCAGGCTCTGGACAAAGATCTGAGAAACAACATCATGAATAACCACACAGGCACTTTAACAGACACATTAAGCGTAATAGTGACAGTGAGTGATGACACCAACAGCCGTTGACGGGAAGCGCTTGGTAAATACAACATGTTCTGTGAAAATACAGAAAACCGAGAATAAAACTGATTAATAAAAACACAACACACAATGACTACTATAATAGGCCGCTTCGGCTCAAGTTTTTTTCTCCTTTATTCAAGATGAAGTTAAACCGGACAGGAATCGGAACAAACATATCAGATGTGTTGTGAGGCTTAAAAAACTTCTTTTTTAAAAAGCGAATAAGGTCTAAGATCCATCTTTTCTCCCCATTTCTCTCCCTGTCCGCACCTCCATTCTCTTCAAGAGAATTAAAGCCTCTTTTCTTTAGTGACTTTGGTGGAAGTGTTTTCAGCACGAAGCATTCACAAACCTTGCGCACTCACATGTCTATTCAACTCGATGCTTTGCATAATCATTAAATCATGACCAGCTGAAGAGCTTCAGGGGACAGGAAACTACCCTGCGTATTAAGAAAGATTCTAATGAACATTTAATAAACTAGAAAGCATAAAAATATGAATTGCATGAGTCAAATCAACATGTGTTAAAAGGATTGTTTACCCAAAAATGAAAATTCTGTCATCACTGGCTCACACACACGTCATTCCAAACCTGTATGACTTTATTTCTTCTGCAAAAAAAAAAACAACACAAAAAAAAAACACAAAACCAAGATATTTTGAAGAATGACTGACCAAAAATAAAAATAAAATAAAAAACACGAGGGTCAGTAAACGGTGACAGAATTATCCTTTTTGGGGGAGACTATCCTGTTAAGAGCTTAAGATTTAAAATAGATGGTTTGCCCATTGGACAGTTCAAATGAAACATTTCAAACGGAAATTCAAGAAGCTATTTTTTTTTTTTTTTTTTAAAGAAAATCTTTTATTACAGCCCTGCCGCTTTGCCTGGAATGATTATGCATTTCTGAGGAGCAAGAGAGAAATCTTCAGACATCATCACAAGGAATTCTGACATTTTACAGAAAACAGTTTTCTACTCAACTCATTCCTATACTAGTTCTACTTTTTCTCATCTCACCTCATTTATCACACAGTCAATAAAAAGTTAAGAGAGATAAATACATATTTATCCCTTTAAAGAAGAGCAGTCGATTTCTTGTTATAAGAGCTTTTTTTCCTTTCAAGATACATGACATAAGCAGTCGATAAGCCGAAAAGAGCAGGAACACTTTTCATTGAACAATAAGTCAGCAACATGATGCCGGCAGAAACAAGTCTGATAAATGAAACAACATGATCCCAGCTGATATCAGTTTTTCCTTTAAAAGCAAGATCCTAACATGAAAGATGATTGTAAACATTACCGATTGGTTTACTAGTATAGGCTACAGTATATGATAAAAGCTGTCATGGGGGAAAGGATTTTAATTATATGATAAGCATTCAGTTTACAGTATTTTGGTCAGTGCAAGCCAAGGCAATCTCTAAACTCTTCTAAATGAGTAGTATTCTTAACATTAAAGATATTTAATAACATTTGCAAGATTAATTGGATCCTGGTTGGACTTGAATCGATCCTTAGTCAATATGCAAGAATGATCTTACCTTTAGGACTTGCTCAAGGTTCTCCAGTTTGTCTTGGAGCTGAGCCTTCTCCTGCCTGGCCAAGTCTCTCTCTTGACTCACACAGCCAAAGGCCTTTCTGAGCTGATCATAGTCTGACTTTACCTACGGAGTGAAAGAGTTGGGGAGAGATGAGGATACATCGGTTTACAGCCCCAAAAGTCCAGCTAAACTTACAATAATGTCTCTTAAACAATGAAAAACTGAGTTAACAGAGGAAGCTTGGCCAGACTTCAGCTGTTGGACATTTAATAATGGCCACAACAAATGGAAGCAAAACAGCTGACTCTGCATCAATGCTTGGATGCATTTTACAATAGACCATGAGAGCACAGAATTAATCTTTTTGATAGATTATTTTAGTAGCTTTTGTCACTCCCATAAAAGGCACCCTGATTCTTTGAGGCTTGAAACATAAAGCTACGGCATTGTGGGCTAAACAATACAAAAAAAATCAGGTGATTTGTATCTAAGGCAACAGTTCTAAAAATAAAGATTCAGTGTTCAGAAATGCGTTTGACTTTTACATTGACTCACGATGCTGGCAGAGCTCAGAGAAACAACCAATCACCCGATGAGTGCAGAAGAGGGTCAACTCAGGACACAGTCAAACAAGAACCCCATCCACCAATCAAAATTCACCACTCAATATATCACGCACTTGTGGCTGGCAACGCCCGTACTCTGTCTCATTTATTAGGACACATTTCATCCTGCTTAGAGGCTCAGAGAAATGGGCAGGTTGATTCACATCTCGTATCGATCTAAGATCGGTATATGAGATTGCGCCTGGTGCCGAAGCGTGTGACAGACCGACCCGTCCCACTTGGGGTTATTTACCTACTCTCTTCTGCCTTGTTAGCACCGCTGAATGCTGGAAAATGAGTCTTTGATCATTGAGGGAATGGGAATGGGAGCGGACAACACAACCTGATTAAACAGAAGACATTTTATCTCAGACGCTTGTCTGGGGTTGTGACAGATGGCCCCTTTTTGCTGTTAGAGGAGAGGAACAGTCTGTGGATTATTCGGAGAGAGACTGCCAAACCATGGCCCGTCAGCTTGGCAAAAAGCACTGGTGAAATTGACACTATTAACACAATGAGTGCCATGGACTGCCACTCTCCGCGGTCCTGTGTTAGTACGATATCCACTCCTCTGCAGATTCACTACTCACGTTGATACCCCTGTTCGGGTGTCACAGTCTTTCACTTTCTGATGATCTCCAATTTGCATGTCGACACGTTTGTCACATCATGGAGGCCGATTTCAAACCATAATAAATGCATACAGGCAAAACCCCATTGAGTTTCATTGAGATAAATCTGGTCAAAACAAACAAGGCGGATATATTGACCAGACAGGGACACGATAAGATCAATACTGCCGATGAGATGCAGAGAAGAGCCCTTCAGGCACATGTTCTCAGAAGAGCCATGTAATGAGCAGCCATTGATCTGATGAGCTCGGCTGGTGAGTGATGACCATCTCTTACCTTCTCGTACTGTGCAGCCTTCAGGATGTGACTAAGCAGCTCACGATTGAGCCGTTTTCTCTCCAACAAAGCATCCTGAAGCTCATTCTTCTGTCAAGATAAAAAAGAAAAAAAGGAGTCAGCTCATTCTGTATGTAATATACTGTATGACCAAAATTTTATTTCACAATATGATTAATTTTATTTCACAATAGCGATATATCATGATATTGTTATTTTTGTTAAAGCTACACTGTGTGATTTTTACCCCCATCTAGCGGTGAAAAGGTATTTGACCATTCAGTGAATATTAGTTTCTGTTCCTCTCAATTCCGATTTCGTTTTAACTCCTACGGTGGCCAATATAGTCCAAGATTAACATGGCTTCCAGTTCGACCTCGTCCATGAGTGTTAACTCAAACGTAAATGCGAAAGGCGAAGCTTGAATTAACGGGTATATGTCCCTCTTTGGCTAATGTACTTTCAAGATGGCGACCGACATTAGAACTCCTTACCCGTATGTATTTTCAATGGCATATTATACACTCACAATAATACTTTATTATTTGAACGAAATAAATATACTAGGGCTGTGCAAAAGTTAATTGCGATTAATCGCATACAAAATAAAAGTCTGTTTTACATAATATATTTGAGTGTGCTGTATATAATTATTTTGTATATATAAATACCTATGCATGCATGTATATATTTAAGAATTATTTGCGCTTAAATTCTGTATATATATATATATAAATACATAATCTATATTATATAAATATAAATATTTTATATAGGAATAACACATTTTCTTAAACATATACATGCATGTGTGTGTATTTATATATACAAAATAATTATATACAGCACACACAAATATACTATGTAAACACAGACTTTTATTTTGGATGCGATTAATCGCAATTAACTTTTGCACAGCCCTAAAATATACATTAATGAGCACATATATTTTTGAAAGAACTAAGTGTTTTTAGCTAAGAATAAACTAAAAGAGTTACACAGTGTAGCTTTAAAAAATGAGTACAAAGAAGAACAAGTACAATATATCAAAGATCCAAAGTAAATAAAGTTTTTCAGGCACAGTAGGTTTTCTCTAACATGTAGGGCCCTACACTCTAAAAAATGCTGGGTTGTTTTAACCCAATTTTGGGTCAAATATGGACAAACCCGAAATGTTGGGTTAAAAATGTAATGTAAAAATTTAACCCAACGGCTGGGTTAGTCCATATTTGACCCAAAGTTGGGTTAAAACAACCCAGCATTTTTTAGAGTGTATCATACACCTGGCGCAATGCGGTGCTAGGCGCGACACAAGTGTTTTTTGCTAGTTTCAGCCTGAAGCAGTTATAATTTTTACGTCCTGTGTCACGTTGTTTAATAGAAAATGCATTTGCGCTCATCTGTTCGCCCATCGGTGTTCTTTGTTGGCTCGTTGGTATTTTGAGGCAACTGAAATAGACTGCGCCATTGACCAACAAAAACCTGGTCTAAAGCCAATGAAGCAATTTCTTTTTGTTATTTAATTATGCACATTAGTAATATGTGCCTATAGGCAGGTGCACAACGCACAAACTGTACACCCTGCTTATTAAACACACACGGACGCGCAACACAAACATGCCAAATATTAATAATAAAACGATTACAATGTAAAAGATTATTATTGTGAT